CATCAGATCCACACCGTTCGTCCGAGTTTCAAAAATGAGGTGCCAAATTAAATAAAATTTCATGTTTTGAAGTTAGAACTTTTCACTTAAGTATGAGTGCTTTACAATCGAAAAAATCAAAATTGAAAATCTCTTATGTTTTTGGCTGAGTTTAAGTACAAAGCAAGCTGAGTTTTATTAAAATAAATTACACTTGATGTAATACGCAGAAATTAGCCTAATTACTAAAAGACAAAAACATATGCTAACATATTCATTTGTATATTTATCTACATATCGCACCCTAAAACAAAAAAAGTCACAACTCAAAATTTATTTTTCCCATAAAGCAGATCAAATACATTCTTTTACTGGAAAAATACTTTAAGAATCATTTTTGTTTTGCTTGCGTCGCTTGTGCAGCATCCATAGTTTTTAGCTCTCCTGAACATTTGAAATTTTTTGAGTTGTGACTGTTTTGGATGTAATGTGCGATATGCGCACATATGTACGTAATTGGAAGATATTAATGTTACAATGAACAAATTGATTAAATATGCACAGTAATCGGAGTGCCACAATGCCCATTCATCGCGTCGAAAGAAACGTGCGTTTGGTACGAATTATCCCAGACCTACTCATAGTGGTGTTAATTGATGAATAATAAGAAGGTTGCGGTGGCAGACAGCGCGTCTAACCGCATAGCTTCACTACATAGTAGTAGGCCTACAAATAACTACTTATATACTAGGAATATTAATCCCGGGATCCCGGCTTTTTTTAGTCTCGAAAAACCCGTGATTCTTGGCAAATTAAAATAGAAACTCCTTTTCTTGACATGTATTGACTATATATCTTTAATTTTTTAATTTGATATTTAATATTTTTTATAAATGTCTAGCTCAGTATACATACAACACCGTGCGATAGTAAATTTTACACACAAAAATCAAATTATATTGGCGAAACCATGGGCCAAATATAGTAAAATTCCATTTTTCGTTTTTCACTCTGACGTCAGTAGCTCAAAAATTATTAAAAAAAAAAAATTCAGTGAAATGTGCCTGTCAAATTAAAGAGAAAATTCTGTAGAATTTAACCAAATTCAATTTTTTGGAACGGTAAGTATTGAAAATGTCTTTTTAAAAGTTTATCCCTGAAATTTCGCAATATTTACTTAAAAAAAAAATTATATGTTAAGGACTTATATAAACTCGATAATATCCTCAAATTTCATCCTTCTAACTTCATTAGCTTAAAAAATTACCTTTTCGTCCTTGTGAATCGAAAAAATTTTAATTTTTTGTAATTCTAAAGAAATTTCCTCCTTCATTTGGTACCCCGTATTTTTATTCTACATTGCATTGAATTTTTGAAATAAATTTTGGAATTAATCATTGAAATTACAAAGTCCTTTAAAATAAATCCTGATGTTAGAGACAAAAAATAAAAACGCCACTTTAAATAAAAAAGTAGGTTTCAAACGCATTTATTTATTATTTGTTTTATGGTAGGAGAGATAGAAGCAATTTTTTCGATTTAAATTGTTGAAAAGTAATGAATATCAAAATCCCGGACCTAGTCCCGGGATCCCGGGATTTTGATAACCACATCTCGAAAATCCCGGGATCGTAAAAAGAGGAAAAATTTACATCCCTAAATTATGCATACAAAGGTATGGTTTGTATGCGTAGCATAGGGGGTCAAGGCAGCACAACTAAGTAGTAGATCTGCATAATTCACAGAACACCAAGTGGCTCAGCTCGAATAACAAAATGCCACAGAATGTCTCACATAATGTATGCAAGCGAAACAAAAAGTGCTAACTCGTGCATTTACATAAGTTACTTTGTATGGACGAGTCGATAGTGCCTACACATGCACACTTTTCCTTTCTTCGCACCCAACAATTTACACATTTACATACTATGCACAAATAGCGTAACTTAGCTTTTTGTTTTGCTGACTTTGTAGTATTGAGTTTTACTTATTTCCATTTGTTTTTATATTTTTTGTTTTAGCGTACTTTGTTTGGTTTTATTTTATTTTTTTGTTTTGATACTTTGTTGCTTATTCGACATTTATTGTAGCTTAGACTTGCATACTGGCGCATATGTTTAGTACACTTACATACATATATAGCACTTATTGAAAGCTCGGGCATAAGAAATGCAAACGCCAGCAATTTAAAATCCGCAGCCGCCTAATTAGTGTAAGGTTAATGCTTTTAACAGCCTGTCAGCATAATTTAAATCAGCTCACACTTAAAAATGCGCAATTACATACATACATATGTATATTTTGCAAGCATAGCTTTGTATACGTATGAACATATGTATGTATGTGCATAAGTAAGTGAATTTCTAGGCTGAAATTCATTAAACAATTTTCTATTGCTCTTAGTGAATAATTTTACTACAAACTATTGCTAGATATGGCTATACTACAATTATGTAGTTCGAGATGTGTGTAGATCTTGACAAGCTAGAAAGCTTTAAATGGGGTGAACCAACAACCATACGCGGTATTTTCCCTTCCCTTTCGTCACGACAAAAATTACGTACGAAAGGATGTAGTAAAATTTTATTTTGACAGACAAAAACAAAAACATAAAAACATGAGATCATGAGATCATTACAATGTACAGCAACAAAAAACACAACTTATCACAACTAATGCACAGAGATTTTTTTCAAAATGCATGCACCTTTTTCCGTTCTTTATGAAAATACAGTTTATACTAAATACATGAAAAAAACATAAAAATAAAATTTCTAAACTTTGAGCAAAACTCGGGAAAATGCAATAAATTTGAATTCAAATTTTCAACTTTCTAATCAGACTTTTAATAAAAATTTTGAAAATGATACACTATAGTACATTCAAGGCGTTTCTTCAAACTTCAAAATGTGTTCATATCGGCAAAATATGCTGTACGTATATTCATGACACCTAGACCTTCAATCTCTTCAACTTTCATTCAAATACTTAGAGGTCGTGGACAGAGGTGGCCGCGGTGATATGAAATGCCTCTTCTTTTAATTTAGAGGGCATCTAATGTAAAAAAGGCAGCTGATATAAATTTTAAAATAAAATTAAAAATAAATAGAAGCGCTATGAATAATAAATATGAGAACTTTCACTTCGTGCATAATTACTTTACACCTATCACAAGGGCCACCAGTCATATTATTAAATATTTAAAAATATAAATACAATGGAAATTGTTTGATTTTTTTTTAACTATTCCATTAAACTTTTAAACTTTAATGTCTCAAAAAGAAAAAAAAATTTATATGAATTAATTTCTATAAAATTATTTTATTTGTATTTATTTTAAATTCTGTTACATAATTTCTTATTCGTTTTACGATTTAATTTAAAAAAGAAAACATTTTCTTTCTTTTACAATTTTTCTTTTTTCATTTGATTTGTTCTTTTTTTAATTTAATTTTCTTTAAAATTTTTGGTATTACTGTTTTAAAAAGAAAAATACATATATTTTTAGAAAACTTATAGCTAAAAAACAAACAAAATAACGCCAAGACCTCCCCGATAACAGACCTTTCAAATAGTCTTTCGAAAGACAGAAAAGAGTTTTCATGACAGTCTTTCGTAAGAGTGAGCTGTAAATTTCAAATGGGCTTAAGGTGACCCTACCTGACTGTGCTTGCGAGGCAACACAATCGCGGATAATATTTTCTTCTTCTTTCTAACACTCACAATTAAGCGCATATCTAAGTTGATCCGAGAGTGAATTAGCCATAAGCTGAAGGAAGTACATATTCATATTTTTGACGCCTTGACTTTTAAACTTTTACGGCAGCACACTTAATTAAACATTTTTTCGAGATTCCGAGACCTTCTTGACTATTACACCAGCAATCACGTACATACATTCATATGTCTACGAGACATATGTATGTATAAGATGAAATAAACGCTCTATACATTATGACATGAAGTGCGTATGGATATGTATGCAGACACTTGTTTACATATTTTGTTGGGGGCATAGTCTATGCACACTTAAAATTGCCACTTAAAATTTCACACAATAAAAACTATTATTAACACATGCCACTCGCGAAAGCACTATTTCACTTGCTTATATTGCAGCACACGTACTTATATATGTACATACATATTTAGTACAAAGTAAGTGTTATCTTACGTATGTAGTTGAGCTACTCACAGTCGCGATTTTTTTAATCACAACGGAAAACTAAGTAAAATTATGGTATAAAAAAAATACGTACTAAGACTTTATAAAGTAAAACTTTCTTCCGCTGAGAAGAGAACAGAATCAATGTATTAAATGTCTGGGGCTTGTGTTTCAGCTAAGATCCGGTTACTCCCATATGAGGTTGATAGCGAGGTATTCTGATGCGATCGAGAGTTTACCAGGCAATCCCAGAAATTTCGAATTTGCTGCCCTAATTTTAAGTTGATGAACCATTCATAAAGAACATCGCTGTGCACTGCTACCAAATATTCTACATACTAAGAATATAATCCTCTTACTGAGCACGGCATACATGGATGCGGTTTAACTTATCAAATCGTTATTAAAACAACAGATTTGTAAAATAATAGCTATAGAAAATATCGTCTACCAAGGCAATGCCTTCAAAGAAAGTCCGCTCTTTTCGCTCTCCGGTAAAATCTAAGTGCCATAAAATACATCATCGATATGTATATATGCTGGAACGAAAGTGAAATTACGAAAGCATACCTTGAGTGGAAGAATGCCACAAAAAAAATATACGTATTTTTATTCATACATAT